CTTTGCACCTTTCCTGGATCTCACTCTGTAGACCAGGCTAGACTCAAACTCACAGAGATCTACCTGCCTCTGCCTCCCAAGTACTGGGATTAAAGGCGTGTGCCACCACCGCCCAACTTGTCTGTCTGTCTTTAAATCTGACTTGGAGCCTTGCGATATTTCTTGCCTGGTCCCAGGTTTAGGCAGTCAGGTAATCCTCCTGCTCCACATGCCTCAGTGGCTAAGACTACAGTTGCTTCATGCCCAAGCCTGTCCATTTTTGGTTTTGTTTTGAGACAGGGTCTTTCTGTGTAGCTTTGGCTGTCCTGGAACTCACTCTGTAGACCAGGCTAGACTCAAACTCACAGAGGTTCACCTGCCTCTGCCTCCTAGAGTGCCGGGATGACAAGCATGTGCCACCACCGCCCAGCAAGTCTGTCAGGTTTTAATCAACGTGTTAATTGCACAGAGCCTCTGCCTCCTGTCCATGTTGCTGTTTGGTCACAAACCCCACTGCCCTCTCTGTCCCCTCCCGCTGCTGCTCATCTCCCCCCCCACAAGTGGTCCTCTTTCTAATTTCACACTTCCGGTTTCCATGACTGTCCCAGCAGGGTCTCGGCTGCTGTGATGAACAGCATGACCAAAAGCAGCCAGGGGAGGGAAGGGTTTATTTATTTCACCCGACATTTCCCCGGCGCAGTCCATCACCAGATGAACTCAGGGCAGGAGCTGAAGCAGAGGCCACACAGGAACACTGCTTAGTGGTTGCTCCGCACACCTTGCTCAGCCTGCCTGGGGCGGCACTGCCCACAGTGGGCTGGGCCCTCCTACATCTATATCATCTATCATCAGTCAAGAAAATGCCTCACAGCTCCATCTGGTAGAGGCATTTTCTCAACTGTGTCTTCTTCCCAAATGACTCTAGGTTGTATCAAGTTGAACCAATGGGTTCCATTAGGACGGCCTGCAGGAGTGTGACTTGGGGGTCCCTTACAGGAGCAAATGTCTGTCCTTGCCTTCAGTATTAATCACTCACTGAGCCAGAGGGAGGGCCAGGCCTCCCCAGAGCCAACTCTACTCCACGCTTTCGACTCTCCTTCCCCAGCCACTTACCAGTTTCTCACTGGCCAGGGACTGGAATGCGAATCCTCCATTGTCAGAGAAGTATATTTTGGTCCTAGGCAGTGGTCCACCACGGAGATACGCAAAAACTTTATATGATAACTCCTGGGAGAAGAACACACAGAAGACGTCACAAGAATGCTCCGTGGGTGGGATGCTTGCCACGTGTGCAGGAGGCTCCGGCTTCTGTTCCCAGCACCACAGAAACCCAGCCTGCTGGCGCACACCCGCGTCCTGGAATTCTAGGCCATCCTTGGCTATGCCTGAGAATTAACTTCCACTGACCTTGGGCATCCAATCCAAACAATCGACAACTCTGTGCTTTCATGGAGACTATGTATTAGTAAGCACTGGCAGGGAGTTCTGCCCCCGACCCTGCAGAGATGCAGTCTCACCACTTAGGTTACCAGATGGATGCCACAGCTTACCGATGGAGCCAAACATGGGCATGTGACTGAGGCAGAGTGCTTGCACAGCTTTGCTTTTAACGATCAAAAAGGGGAAACAACCAAATTACTCAGCACTCTGAAGGGGTGAGGGACCGATGCACACATCTTATGAAAGCTCCAAGGCTGCATCCTGTATGCTTGTGTTCATATGCTGTGGCGTCTGAGTGACAACGTCCCCCCCCCATAGGCTCATCTGTCTGAGCACTTGGTCCTCAGTTGGTGGAACTGTTTGGGAAGGGTCAGGAGGTGTGGCCTTTGTGAAGGAGGTATGCCATAGGGTCGACTTTGAGGCCACAGCAGGCCCAATTAGCTCTCTATCTCTCTCCTGCTTGTAGATAAGGACAAGAGCTCTCAGCTGCTGCTCCAGCACCATGCCTGCCTGTTGCCAGGCTCCCACCATGACAGTCATGGACTCACCCTGTGAAAATATGAACCCCAACAAACTCTTCTGTAAGTGCTTTGGCCATGGTGTCTCATGACAGCCACGGGACAGTAACTCCTGTGGGATGTTCCTTTACACTGCGTGAACATATGTCGCTGTGACTGGTTAAATAAAGAAGCTGACTGGCCAATAAGTGGACATGATAAGATTAGGAGAGAGAACCCGACTAAAGACACTGGGAAGAAGGGTGGAGTCAGAGGAGCTGCAAAGAGGACACAGGAGGTGCAGATGTCAGAATGTAGATTAATAGAAATGGGTTCATGTAAGTTGTAAGAGTTAGCTAATAACAAGCCTGAGCTATTGGCTGAGCATTTATAATTAAAATTAAGTCTCCATGTTGATTATTTGGGAACTGGTGGGTGGGAAAGAAAAGTCCCCCTACATATGTCACCCAATGTTGGGCAACTACATCCACACAAAAATGGGGGGGGGGAGGCTCCAAACACACAAAATGGAGCCAAATGTGGCTTCCTAGTCTCACAGTCTCACGCTGCTGCAGTACAGAGACACATCTCCCAGCAGCTGCAGCAGGATGGAGCCAGCTGCTGGCCGCCATGCACTTGCACAATACACTAAGCTGAATAATGCTGGCAGTTGATTTAGCAATTTATTTGTCTCATGTGATCACAGAACAATACAGATGCTCAGTTAAGAGAGATCCAGATGAAAGAAACCTCTAAAAAGGTTATAGTGTTCAAAAATATACATAGGCTTGGGAGAGAAAAGATCAAGAGTATATACAGTCATAGATTAAAAAATAGTTTAAGAATAATAAAGTCTTTAAAAAAGGAGTAAAATATTAACAATAATTATTCTTATAATTTATAATGATAAGCCATGTAAATATGGGAAATACACAGAGAGTTTGGATCCTGTATATTATTGTGTTGCCTTTGAATTTTTTGGCTGTTAAGAGACACTGGATTATGAAAACTGCTAAATTAAACCAATCTATTATTTTAAAAAAATATCTTGACTTCAAAATGGAAGTCAAAAGTTGTGTTGCTTTGTGGGAGAGGTTGTGCTTTTATTTCCACAGGAAATGAGAGGCAGTGGATTCATTCCAGGTTAAAGATGATCAGATTTGATCAGGGAAGACCCCCTCCCCTGAAAATTCTGACTACAGACATAAAAAACAAACCTCAAAAAACTACAAAACATGTAATGTATATTTTACCTACTCAATATAAAACAGAAAATCATCTTTGGCTAACTTGTGTACAACAAATCATCTATACTTGTATTAATACAGATATGTATGTTACCTTCAAAAGCTTATCTATTTTCAGAAAAAGGAGACCAGTCACCAATGAAATGGATGGCCCAGGTGATCCAGCATCCCAAAATGCCTGTTACAGTCTCTGCACAATTCTGCATCCAGAACAGCTTCAAGGCTGCTTGCTGAGATGGTCCAGCCTCACAAACTATTCCAGCCAAGACCTAACAATTATCCTGATTTTTTTCAAGGTTCCCCCAAAGATACCAGTGCCCACAGGAAACAGGAAATAAGTCTAGAGAACAATGCCCACATTCCCAAGAGATAGGGTATAGGTGGGTATACTGGGATGGTCCTTCTGTAGGCTATGAATATTTGTTGCTCTCATTGGTGGATAATAAAGTTGCTTGGCCAATGGTGAAGCAAGATCAGGTTAGGTGGTACAATCAAACGGGCTGAGCTGGGGCAGATGCAAGCCAGCTACAGAAGGAGTGAGATGCTCAAGGACCGGTAAACCAGGGGCCACGTGGTGACGCACAGATAAATAGAAATGGGTTAACTTAAATGAAAGAGCTAACTAGTAATAAGTCTGAGCCATAAGGCAAGCATTTATAATTAATACAAGCCTCTGGGTGATTATTTGGAATCGGCTGTGGGACAGGGCAGGACTCAGAAAAACTCTGTTTACATATGGCAGCACAATGCGGGGCAGGAATTTCCACATAAGACCCCCCCCAAAATCTCTAAAAAGGTTCTAAATGCAGAGAAACGGAGCTGCACCAGGCTTCCTAGTCTCTCAGTCTCAGCAGCTGCCTGCATGATGGAGCCAGCCACCATGAGCTTAGCTGTAAGGTGGATTTCGAGTCTCACACTAGCTGTGGTACAAGCGTGTGCTGCCTGGCGGATTTAGGGTTTCTGCTCATATAGACAAAAACGGTTAGAGATACACAATAAGGACAGATTCAGACAACAAGGTCTCTGAATGGGTCACAGTGTGTTTAAAGAGTGTGCATGGGCCTGAGAGAGAGAGGAGAGAATATATAGAAAATAGTTTAATAATCCACTTAAGGATGGAAAATACGCGGAGAGTCTGATTACTGTATGTTACTGTGTTGTCTTTAAATTTTTTTTGATGGCTAATGAACAAATGAAAACTGCTGAGAGACATTTGATTATAAAAGCTGCTGGAGTAAACCAACATATGTTTTTAAAATGTCTTGACTTCAAAATTTAAGTCATAAGTTTAAGTCATAAAATTAAGGGATATGTTGCTTTGGGAAAGAGGTTATGCTTTTGTTTCCACAGGAAATGAGAGGCTCTGGATTTATTCTGGGCTAAGGAAAATCAGGTTTAATGGAGGAAGACCCCCTGAAATCCTGGGTACAGACATGAGAAAATAAACCTAAAATAACTATAAGACATGTGACATATATTTTATCTGCTCAAACATAAAACAAAAAATTATCTTTGACTGGCTTACGTATAATGCACAGTTTATATTTGTGTGTGTGTGTGTGTGTGTGTGTGTATACACATATACATATACATACACACAGATATATATATATATATACCTTATATATTTTCAGAGCAAGGGAACCAGACACCAATAAAAATGGCCCAGATGATCCAACATCCAAAACAGCTTCAAGGCTGCTGATTGAGATGATCCAACCTCACAGAATACTTCAGCCAAGACTTAACAATTATCCTAAATTTTCTCAGGGTCTCAAAAAGATTACCAGTACCCCCAATCATCAGGAAGTAGTCTAGGGAACTATGTCACATTCCTCAAAAATAGATTATAGATGTTTGTCTTTGCTTAGGATGTTTGTTATAAATTGTTATTGGTCATAGTCAATCTCTTTCTAAAGAAGAAAAGAGGATATTATATAGAAATGATGTGGGAAAATGTATATTATGATGGGGAAAAGGGTAGATTATGAAATCTACTTTAATCCAAAAAACAACTGTTATGCTCACATATTTTACATTGATATGGATTTTAATTTATTGATACAAATTTGAAGTTATTTTGTTACACTCTATGTATATTTCTACTCTTGTTTAAAGTAGTATGTGCTGTTGGTTATTTTTTTACTCTTTTGGGGGGCCCACCACCCAGCTCATAAATAAATCACACACAGAGGCTTATTCTTAATTATAAATGTCCGACCTTAGCTTGGCTTGCTTCTTGCCAGCTTTCCTTAACTTAAATTATCCCATCTACCCTTTGCCTCTGGGCTTTTCCTATTCTCTTACTTCTGTAAATCTTACTATTACTCTATGGCTTGCTGTGTAGCGCTGAGTGGCTGGCCCCTGGGGTCCTCCTCCTTCTCTGGCTACTTCTTTTTCTCCTCCCAGATTTCTCCTTCTATGTATTCTCTCTGCCTGCCAGCCCCACCTATCCTTTCTCCTGCCTCCCTATTGACTGTTCAGTTCTTTATTAGACCATCAGGTGTTTTAGACAGGCAAAGTAACACAGCTTCACAGAGTTAAGCAAATGCAACATAAACAAAAGTAACATGGCTTAAAATAATATTCTACAACAATTATGTTTATACAGCTCAAATAAAATGTAATATATAATTAAGAAATATAGATTAATAGTCATCTATAACAGTCAAACTTATAGTGATGTTAGTTAGGTTTTCTAGGTATGCAAATATATTTTTAATTAGATAGGTAAGCTTCAAACACTTCAAAGATGTACAGAATATGACATTTTAAATGTTTTAATAACTTAGACTTTTCTCGACAGTAAGACACATCTGCTCCTTGCTTACTTCAAAGAGGTAGATGAGGATCAAAGAAACTCATTATGGAGTTTGTTTTCTTTATGGCAAAAGCTAGCCATGTGGGCAAAGAAATGGCCCTTGCTGAAGAAATTGCTGACAGTTACTGACCAAACTGGACCAGCAGGACACACAAAAGTGGACTGCTGAACTTTGCCAAGACAAGGCAGGGCAGTCCTTCAAAATTTCCTGCTTCTGAAAAA